GGGGGGGCCCGACCCGGGGAGCCTTGGATTAAGCGCGCCCCTCCGCACCTCCAGCCGCGGCGCCATGGCTCACGTCGGCTCCCGCAAGCGCTCGAGGAGTCGCAGCCGGTCCCGGGGGCGCGGATCGGAAAAGAAAAGGAAGAAGAGCAGTAAGGGCTCCTCCGGGAAGTGCTCGGCCTCTGAGTCCCGCGGTCGCAAAGCCAGCACCAGCTGCGGGGCGGAGGGTGAGGACCGTGGGGACTGGGAAAGGGGTGCGACCGTCCGTAGAGGAGAAGCCGGCCCGGGAAGTGGCAGTGAGCAGCAGTCACCCGCAGGGCCAGAGTCCGAGCTGAAGGACCCCAGACGGGGTGGGGCGGGGCTGGGGCCACCAGTGTGGACTGAAGGAAGTTTAACCATGCTTTCTGTGCCGCTGGGCCTGACAGTGGGGCTCCTGGGCAGGCGGGGACCTTGAGCCTGGAAGGTGCCCGGCCTGGGGGAGCCCTGCCAGGACCCTTTCTTGCTGTAGTCGCCGAGTGCCCCAGGCCAGAGCAGGGGAGGATGGTCTCCTCTTCCTGGCCTGGCCTTGCAGCCTCACCTGCTCCCTGCATCACAGAGAGAAGCAAGCACAAGGCCCGGAGGAGACCACGGTCCAGCTCCTCCTCCTGTCCTTCCAGTTCTTCCAGCTCTTCCTCCTCCTCGTCCTCCTCCTCCTCCTCGTCCTCCAGTGCTGGCCGGAAGAAGCGAGGGAAGCACAAGGACAAGAAGCGGAAGAAGAAGAAGAAGCTGAAGAAGAAGGGCAAGGAGAAGGCAGCGGTGCCGCAGGCTGAGGCCCTGCCGGGCCCCTCGCTGGACCAGTGGCACCGATCCGCCGGGGAGGAAGAGGAAGGCCCAGGTACCAGGCGCGCACACACGGAGGGAGAGGGTCCCCCCTCTGGCCTGGCCCCCACCTCCCCTCCTTCCCTTCCAGTCCTGACCGACGAGCAGAAGTCCCGCATCCAGGCCATGAAGCCCATGACCAAGGAAGAGTGGGATGCCCGGCAAAGCGTCATCCGCAAGGTGGTGGACCCCGCGACAGGACGCACCAGGTGGGGGCGCTTGGCCCGCTGGCCCCTGTCTGGGAGGATGAGAGCTCGGGTAGGAGGGGTGGCAGCTCCAGAGAGGTCACGTGTGGGGCAGGCCAGTCACTGTGATGGGACACAAAGCCGCTGCCACACTGCCCCAAGTGGGCAGTTGTTGGGGCTGGAAGGGCCCCTGGGAGGTGCTTGAGGGGCTGCTGTTGGCCGGGCTGATGGAGGGGCCTGGCAGGACAGCACCTTCTCGGGCCTCTCCACCCTTGTCCTCCGAGTGGGAGAGGGGTAAAGGCGCCCAGGCCCCACCTGCTCACTGTGCTGGGCCCTGGCCCAGATGGTTCTGGCGTCAGGTGGTTCTGGCCTCTCCCTGCTGAGTGGACCCCTGCCGCCTGCAGGCTCATCAAGGGAGACGGCGAGGTCTTGGAGGAAATCGTAACCAAAGAGCGGCACCGGGAGATCAATAAGGTTGGTGTTGCCTGTGCCCGGCCCCTCTCCTGCCAGCTCTGTGCCCTTCACGCCCCCCACTCCTGTGCCCTCTGTCCCCCAGCAAGCCACCCGCGGGGACGGCCTGGCCTTCCAGATGCGAGCCGGCCTGCTTCCCTGAGGGCCCGGCTGGCCGAGGCTGGCACTGCTGTGGATGCTGTTTGCCCTCCGTCAGACTGCCCTCTGGCCCAGCCCAGCCTCACGTGCAGGGGGCGATGGGTCACTGGCCTGCTTTGCATCCCTGTATAGCGGGGTGCAGCTTCCCAGAAATAAACGCTCCCTGGCTGGAGACCGGCCCTGTTCTCGTGCTTTGTGTGTCATGGGGGGTGGGGAGGTACCAGCTGACCAGGGACAGCACAGCGTTCCCTGCTGGTGGTGAGACGGCCACCCCACCCTCAGGTCCCCCGCCTGCACCAGGCCCCAACCCCAGCCGAATCCCAAACCCAGTCCTGGCTGTTGAAGAGCCTGGCCCACCCAGGCTTGGCAGGAGGCTGCTTCCCTTGCCTTGGTCCACAGATGGTGGCAGTGAAGAGCACAAGTGCTGGGGCCAGGTGGCCTGGGGTACTGGGGTACTGACACGGGGGAGCGGTGGCTTCCTGGGGAAGCAGAGGTTAGCGGCCACACCTTGCTGGGGTGCCGAGGACAAACGGCTCACACCTGGGGGACCTGGAAGCGGGCATGGGCTAGTGCAGCTGGGCCTGCAGCTCCGTGTCGGGAGCCCTGGGCAAGGGTGCGCCCCCACCCACCCGTCCCGCTGTGGCAGCAGTAAAGAGAGCCGGAAGGAAGCTTTCTTGCTTCTTTAATTGGTGTAACAGACAGTGACGCTGCGTACAGAGCACACTCAGGCCCAGTGATGCAGGGACAGCAGGAGGGGCACGTCAGGACACTGCTCACACATGGCGCAGAGAGACAGGCGGCACGAGGACAGACAGGAGGGGCGGCGGGCAGGCAGCTCAGACTGAGCCAGCGCGGGGGCGTCT